TGCCACGAGCAAAGCCTGTCTTGGGTTTTGCCGATGGCCAATCGATTATTTCTTGATGGTTTAATATCGCGTTTGCGAACAGCTATCCTGCTTGCTACGTTAGCAAAGTAGTTGAGTTTCCTAAAGCAACGAAAAAAGTGCTCAGGACCTCTGAGACTCTGCCAGGATACCAGTAGCATGAGGAGGATAGGGGTTCCATCACTGCTCCCTCGTCCCCACAGCGGCTTTTACCGAATCACTTGTCACTTCCACATGCGTTGCCTGCTTCTATATCGATAGCGTGTGCGAGGGCTACAGCCACTGCGAGGCACTGCACTGTGTGCACTGGTTTGCTTTAGTGTAATTTGGAGTCCAGCCAATCGATTACTGTTGAACAGCTTATGCAGAGAGGCTTGAACTCGGTTGGTGAAATCTGTATTCGTGCGTGCACGTGAGGATATGCGAATACGAGGTATCCGTGCTGCGCACGCATGTGGAGCGCCCATGTGATTCACTTTTTTCTGACCTAAAAATTAAATGTCTCTTTTTCCATTTCAGACCTACTGGGCATCGTGCTGGAGGCCTTAGTGGCCTGGGATGAGTGTGCGCATTGGTATGTGTAGTGTTGCGTTTCGCCTCGAGCAGAGGCTTCTGGATGAAGGCCTTCTCCTCCTTCTGGCAAGAAAAATTTCATTGTACAAAAGTAATGGAATAGCTTTTTAGCAAAAAGTGCATCCGGCGAATGTGTTCTGAAGTCCTTCACGGTTGCTGGCCCCCAGTTGATCCCGGCTGGTTGCATTGATAGAGGCGTCGAAGTTCAGATAAACACTCTCCGTGGTTTAAGACACTATGGAATGTAAACTGAGGACAATATAGAAGAATATAGGACGAACTGAGCAAGCCACGGCCTGTTGACAAGGCGTACGATTAGGAACAGGAAAGGTAAGGCTGCAACGAGACAGGTCAACAAGCGGATTGGGGAATTCCCCAGATCTTATAAGAGCACTAAAATGAAACAAACATCTGCCCGAAAGCATTACAGACGCTTTACAATGCCTCGTTTGAATACCGTACGGAGTTGGTGCGGGATCGGAGGTGCAAGGTTGCGACCAAAAAGTGAACCCCGCTTCCGCTTTGGGCTAAACACTCTTTAAGCAGCGTATGGCGCTGCTCCATGCACTTGTATCCCGTTTACTTGGCGTGTTCAGGACGGGCCCCGTGTTAGAACCTCACTAGTTCGACCAGTCTTGATTCTTTTGTCCACTGAGCGTACAGCTTGAAACTTGAAAGTTCCGGCAAATTCTCTGTCCACGATACCAATCTAAGCCTCATCTTTCTCCTGTAATGGACACTCGTAGCTTCTAAGCGAACTGCACTAGCCTGATTTGCTAAAGTGTCTCTCTCGCCCTCAACGGCCTCGGACTGCGGCAGAGACGGGCAACACAATAGCGGACCAGCTTTACGAAGTCATCCACGCACGAAGACGCGGGGAGGCACATGTGACGAGCCCTGAAACGTCTGGTAAGGCTTTCGATTACAGCAGGACGAAGAGGCTGAAGGTGACGTGCGTGGCTGCGAAATAGCGGCAGTGAAAAGGACACGCCTCGGTAACGCCCTCTAACAACCGTAACAGTCTAGAATTTTCGCCGGACACTCATGCATCCCGGTAATGCAACGGCTCTGCTATTTTCCCCTTCCTGAGAACACGTGGTGCTCAAACCACCCTGGGAAACATTTTGACGAGCTACCTCAGCTCAGCCTACGCCAACTGCTTGCTCTTCCGCAGCACGGTGATCGTAGGTGTACGCGCCCTTCTTGTTCGTTTAGTTTTATTCTTCACTCGAATGAGCTGAAAGGCTTTTCGCCCTTTTCTGCTCGCAGAATCTCAGAAGAACCTTTGCAGTGGTCTCCTCTCAGAAAAAGATTCGTGCATACGTGGAGGTCTCACTCACCAGTGTGCGCACAGACAATTCCCCTCACGCCGCTTAGCTGGTGACCCACTCGAGTAATGGGAATCTTGCTCATCAGGCCCGCTGCTGCAACTGGGCCAATTCATTTGCTCTCAGAAAAGAGTTAAAAAGCGTGTTAACCATTATGTCACCAAAGTCATGCATGAGTGCGTTCATTATATATCAAGAAGCGGGACGGACCAATGTTCTGCGTGCAGTAAGCACAGTTTACCTTCAAGAAACTACACCATACAGCAGACCCACGGTTTCTACGCCAAAGCTGTTGGGCTGTGGAAGCATCAGGACATAATTATGTGGGACGGTCAACGGCACTGGACGGTCAACAGCACTTCTCCTGCTCATCACACGAGATGACGCACTCTGTCTAGCACAATTTTAGAAGCGAAAACCGGAAGCGACGCTATGGAAAAGCGAAACTATGCAGGCAATTTATTTAGAAGGCAAATTTATGCAGGCCTGAGGACAGTTTTGTCGAGAGAAGACCATGGGAGAGCCATGAGGGCGCGTAGAAGTACAACCAATGCAGTCCCACTTTGGTAAATTAGTGGCTAAGAGAAACTTTGGTCATGCATTTACTCGGCCCACTGTGTTGAGCAAGGCAGCGAGTCAATGCGTTTTCAACTGCTTCTGACAACTGAAAGCGTTGGTAAGAGCCACAAAAGAGAGGGTATCTGCGGTAATCGTTCGCCTGAGGCATGTTCAAATGCTCCAGGGAGCATTGGCGGCGCCGAAGCTTGCAGCAGGTATATACAGTGCGAACTTCGCCAGACTGCAGGTAAATACGCTAGACGTGCAGCGCACTGCAAGTCAGGTTTCACGTCTGGAATTCACCATTATACAACTGAAGCACTCTAAAATTGGTGCGTTATGCTCAGTGGTGCTGGCCTTTCTATGAATTCAAGTTGTAGGCGCTGTAAACTTGGCACAGGCCAAAAATTAGAAGAACAGGGAGTCATGCTCCACACGAAGGATGTAAGTTGCTTGCGCCCGACTGAATGAGACTGCTTCTGCAGCTCCCTGTGAGAACGATGCGGCGAGCTCATCATCATTGCTTGAGGCCAACCTTTTACCAAGGCATTTTCAAAAACTATTCTTCAGGTTACATCAAATCTTTAGGAACCCTGTTCATTATCTAGCCGTTGTACGGGGATGTACTTCACAGCAGGCCCTGGAGTAGTGTAGGGGCTCTTGTAACATAAGGACTGTTTTTGAAGAGTTCTTAGTGCCAAAAAGGGGCAGTATGCAGTTTGATAAGCACTACATATGCTGAAATCGGGGACGAGATATCCCAATCGCGGAAACCATTGAGCAGATACATCCTTAAACAACACCAGCCCGAAGCGCCTGAAGTCACGACTCGATGATTCCCTGAAGTTTTTACCTGTATATTACACTTAGAAAGAAAGAACTAAAAATATGAGGAACGCTAGTAAGTAAATGCATTGGGAATCGCCATTCGCCTTGCCGCTGCTGCAGATCGCCCTTGGGGCTGACTTCGGAGGCTGCCCCGCCAGCCCTTGCCCCCAACCAGAGCAGAAACGCATGTCTACAACCAGTTGCATACAAGCTTTAGTGCCGAAACTGGTGGGTTTGTTTCTGGTTGTTCTTGGGTTTCCCCGAGTTTTTTGGCAAGTTTTCTAAAATGCAAATCTTCGTGAAGACCCTTACGGGAAAAACCATCACTCTCGACGTGGAACCTTCCGACACCATCGAAAATGTGAAGGCGAAAATCCAAGACAAGGAGGGCATCCCGCCTGATCAGCAGCGTCTTATCTTCGCAGGAAAGCAACTTGATGACGGCAGGACTCTTTCGGATTACAACATTCAGAAGGAAAGCACCCTTCACTTGGTAGGCTTCCCCACGGTACACGGACCCGCTTAGATTTTGACAGTTCACGATGGATGTGAGCTGTGATGTAGCCAGTTTTGTGTGAAGTGTCACAATAACACGCTGGGTGAAGCAGTGGGTATTTGGTCATGGCGTAGCAACCTATTCCTGACGGGGCCCCTGCGGGGCAGCCACCCAGAAGGCACCGCGGGTTCACGCTAGTTGGAGCCGTCAAACTTATTAAGTTCTTCGATGCTTGCCATCACGAGCCACTGTGAAAGGCGCAACCGCTTTAAACCATGCAGCATAGTCACTTTAGCGCGGTCGCCTGTCTTGACAGCAACAGTGCTGTGGGATGGCGAGCTGTGGGCTGAACACCGCCGGGCGAGGGCGGCGTGTGCATTATGCGTTCGCACTTTGCTCAAGCATTTCACCGTAATGTGCAGTGGCTTTTCATAAGTGATTCTACATGCAAGAGGTTGCACGGTCGGAAGTTTAGGATCGGTCTGCTGGCTTTAGTTTTTTACGTGCTGGCTCGAGGCCTGACATGTGTCATGATCGAATCCTTGTCCATAAGGGTCTGGACTGTGCTAGTGCATTTCGCCTATTTTTTTCAGGTGCTTCGTCTTCGTGGAGGCATTATCGAGCCCTCCTTGGCGTTGCTGGCGTCGAAGTACAACTGTGAGAAGAAGATCTGCCGCAAATGTTACGCGCGTCTCCCTCCCCGTGCCACCAACTGTCGGAAGAAGAAGTGCGGACATACTAGCCAGCTCAGGCCCAAGAAGAAGCCAAAGAGCTAAATTAACGGCAACGGTTGGTCGGGGTGCCTTCTGTCTGTCCTGCGAAGAAGACAAAGGAACGCTGTAACGTGTAATCACTAAGCGTTGTAGACAGTAGCGCGACAGCACCTCCCTTTGGAGCTGTTGTGTTTGAGGGCGGTAGCAGTGGTCAGTGCTACGCGTACGTGGCTGCTGCTGGGCTGCCTGTCGAGCACAAACTTCGAAACCGTTACTTTGCGGAACATCAGTTCTCCCATCCCACAGTGTGGCGAGATGGGAAGCACTGCGGCGTGGCCGTTTGTAGTGTAGTTCGACACATGCATGCGAGGTAGGGCACCTGTGCGTCATACAGCACGGGCCAGCCCCTAGCAGCTGGCCGAATTAAACTGTGTACGCGTGGTTCGCCCTAGCACGGTGTGGCCGCTGTTGATGCCACCACAAGAGATGCAACTGGACCCCGATCAAGGCTCAGAATGGGTAACGGGCAGTAGGAAAATAGACCGTAGGAAGGTTAGTCACTTTGCTACTATGACCAGCAGCACTGCTTTGTGTCGTTGCGGAGGCGTATAACGGCAAAATTTGGTACCGTAAAATGGAAGAGAACGGACATGCCGGCGGGGAGCAAAGCGGGGGGAAGCCGGCAGCTCCAGTATACATTGCCACGCCTCTTTGCAGCTGATCTGCTTTCACGGCTGCCCGCAAACTCCTGTGGCCGAATGTTATGAACAGCACCAGCCATCTTGTGTGCGCAGCGAGTTTTAGGAAGCTGTGCAGTCAGTCCCCCCAGTGCATGTTCTTTGGAAGGCAGGAGCAAGCCACTAAGCAGCCTTGTGACAACGAAGCTTGCGTGCAACAAGTACGGACTATCGTGCAGGAGGGAAACAGCTGAGGCGGTCCTGCGAAGGGCTCGACGGCGCTCAATGGCGGCAACCTTTACTTGTGACTTCGACGGCGCCTTTAGCACCAAATCCTTCGCAGATGTACCAGTATTGACTTTGCCTACGGGGCTACGCGTCGTACGCCCACGGGTACCTGAAGGATAGGAACGGTCGCCTGCGTGAGAAGAAACTGTACAGATATCCCGACAGCAATGCTTGCGGAAGTGCAGCTTAGAACTCATGAAGAGCTAGCAATTTTGGGCAACCGAAAGCCACACATGTGAATTTTATCTGATACATTTATACTTGCCTCTCTAGAAACCATGTTGTTGCTTCTCTGATGGCGTAGTTTGGGACCAATCGTTTCGCATCGCATGGTTCCCTAACCAGTGCACACACATACGATGTCGAGAAGCGTAAGCTGCTCTAATTTTATCAGTTTGGTGCGCTATGTAACGTCACGGGAGGAGATCCCGATAACCGAAAAAAATACCTGGTTAGTGGCTCTGTGGGACCATTTCGGTGTAGATGCTCCAGAAGAAGTTTATGTTCGTAAGTGATGCCGCTGGGCGTGACGACCGGTTCGTCCATTAGGCCCTACAAGTTCACCAGCAAACACCAAGATGATCAGTAAGCGGGATTACTTACTCGGCCGAGTGACACTCTTCAACTGCATGCAACTTATGCACAGAACAAATCTGGCAGAGATTACTGGGGTCACCATTGAGATCCTGCACGTGAGAAAGTCGGGAATTTCAAAAGGCGTATCTGCCTCTGTTGCCTCGGCTACAAGATGCTCTAGCTGCGCCAGTCTTGAGTCAACTTCTCCTCTGGACAATTGCCGATGCTCTGCCGCTAGCTCGATGCACTCCTGCGGAGAGTGGAAGCCGGAGCATCTCTATATGTAGTCGAAAGTGCTGTTCTGTATGCGCCAGCACCTTATTGTTGGGTCCAGGACCAAGTGTGTGATGTAGGTACACGCGTACCTTCAGAAATGCTTCGAGATCCTTACGGTCGGCCCTTCGTTGCCTACAGTGGCGCGCGTGTCGAAGCTTTTTGGCTGAGAAGGCAAGAAAGAGAAAAAAAGAAAACATGGGTGTATCCGCAACAGAACCAAACTTGACCCAACAATTTTCTTGTATCAGTGTACCATTAGACTTTCATAATTTGCTACAGCCTTCTCAACCATGAGATGCACAACGTGCTACAGCCTTTCTTGCCGTTTAATAGAGAGTGGCGGATTTCGTGGGCTGCTCGGCCAGACCCTGACGACGACGCTGTCTGCGCCTTCTCCAGTAAGTTGACTCCAGCATCATAGTCCCCTACACCAGTAAAGAAAAAACTGGCTCTAGCATCCCAGAATGACTCACTGTGAGCACCAGAATTTGTCTTCCTTTTGCTAAAGGCATGCACCTGCGGCCTACCGCTCCAAGTCACGCTCAAGCAGAAATAGTGGGGGTAAAAGCCATACCAAGCTGCACGAGCGCGTCGCCTTTAATATACAGTCCCTTCACATTAGCTTCCTCAAGTGCAAGAGCTGCCTCTGCATCTTGCAACGCTTCCGGATAGCGTTTTTCGCGCTTATGGCAGAGGGCTCTGTTTGTAAAATACGAGGCCACGGTGCCATCTGCCTCAATAGCTTTTGAATAGTACTCTGCTGCCAAACCATACATTCCCCGCCTAAAGCTTTCGTTACCAAGATCCTTCAGCCGGTCTGCCGCCTCTCGATTACGAATCTGGGATTTTTCAGCTGGAGCTCCAGGTTTTGCAGGAATGTTGGGGTCTTTTGGTGCGCTGCCGCTACTGCTGCTACTGCTGCTATTCTTCTCCGTTCGGGCTGGCTGACTGCCTCCAGGTCGCCCCCTCTGGGCTGGCACCTCACTGGCCGTTTCACATTGAGGCCCTTGGGAAGATGCAGGGGCCCCAGACACGGTAGGAGTTGATGCCGCTCGTTGTGAAGAACGGCCGGGCCTCCACAGATTTCCGCCAGCACGGCTAGGGATTCCATCGGCTGTACTTGTGCGACTAGGTAGTCTGCTAGATCCAGAGCTGCTGCTATCACTGCTGCTACTACTGGTCCTGCTGGTTCTGCTGCCCCCTCCTGCCGCCTCAAGGACGGAATTCAATGCTGCTTGAAAGAAGGACTCCATGGGAGTCTTCGGACCGAAAAGGTCTCAGAAGCAGCTCAAGTCACTGACGCTAATTCAGCCTATGCGCACTTCGCCGCAATGACCCATGAAGATGTTGCTTTCCGCTTGATCCCCTACAAGATCGATAACTTGGACACGTGGGCTCAAATTTGCGGCAGCAAGGAAGTGCCTTAAGAAGAGAACATGTTACATGTACAGATGGAATTGAAGATACCTCAGACTTAGGCGAAGATCGACACCGACTCCGGTAAAGTGGTTAACGAGAACCAGAAAAGTTGAAAATAGTCCACCCTGAAGGGCCAGGAACGTAGTCGCTGCTGCTATCGCCCTAACAAGGCTACTCTTGCATACCCCTCCGAAAAATGTAGCAGACTCGATGGAAGTGCTACAAAGGCTTCGTTACCTGCAACTATGATGCAGTGAGATTAAGCCTCAGACTTTCTCATCGCCGAGCATGCAAGAGCCCCAGCTGCATCAGCTTGTGCAGAGTTCTTCAGCAACAACTTAGCCCACGACGGTCTCTATAGTAGCGATGATAGCCACATTTTCTCAGCGATAGTCTGCTTCTACCTTTTCATGCTGCTGCACCCATGACCTTCGCACGTTCACTGAAGAAGCATTCCCGTGCACCTGAGCGCCAAGTCGACGCTATTGCCTTTTGCCGTTGCGTCATTGTAATCATTTGGTAAATATGAGGTTCTATTGAGCCCATATCACTGTGACGCGAATTTGAATGCTGCTTCAGAAGGCGATAAGTGCCAAGTAGTCGACGCCGGTGCCGCAAGACCGTGTGTAGCGGTGCGAATGAACATACCAACGAATGCCGTCATATGCCTGCAGCTTGAGAGCAATTTAATTTAGTTTACGTCAAGCTGCACACGGGTAAAGCATTAATGCCTCCTACATAGACTCCAATGTTTTGGCTCACGGGATGTGCACGACGGCATCCTGTATCTTGGGTTACTGTTCTACGCATGCATGGATTGTGTGAGGACGCCCCTCGTGCTAAGGCAAATTAAAAACGCACAACGTGCGAAGGCTTTTGCTTTGAAAAGTTTGTAAAGTCTGTGGCGTAGATCATAGATTCTTTGCCGCACGGGCTGCCTTGAACGCAGTTGACCAGCGACCGCAGCTTTCTGCGAAAACAGTGTAGCAGCACCAAATCAGTAACAGCAGAACAACCCCAAAGATAGTCCACCACATCACGAGTGCACCAGCGGAAAGACTGAAATGCAGTTTGGCAACCCCTCGTGTCTTGCGAACGGTGCAAGGCGGGCTCTGCAGAACCTCGCTGTTCCCCCACTTCACTGTCATAACGCCGGCTCCAAATGCCGTTTCGTAGTCCGAGTCACACGTACAAGTAACAGTGCCACTGCCCTTCCCTGGTGAAAATGTGCAGGTGCCTTCTCCACAAGGGTTAGCTGCTGGGTTGGTGCATGGATTGTTGTGGGTTTCGCAATTATTGCCAGTAAAAAAGTCTCCACAGTCGCATTTATAGTAAGGCTCAGTATTTGTATCTTGGCAGGTCCCCAGGGAGCACAGGGCACTGCTGCAGTCAATGCCTGTACTTGGCTTGATGCCGCACCCGTCTGTGCACATCGAGATGACATCTGTACACAAAGGACCTGAATAAGGCATGTCGCACACGCAGATTTGCAAACCTCCATTCTCGTAGCAAGTGCCATTGACGCACAAATTAACTGTGCAAAGCGCGGCACCTGCGAATAAGACCCCAGACACTAATGCTGATGATTCCTTTTTGCGCAGCGATGGAGTTCTGCCTTTTGGTCCTTCTTGACAGGTAAGCTGCTGAGGTGACGGGATGAGAATAATGCAAAAAACGACTAAAATGTACAAAACAAAGGGGAGGCGACGACAGCATTGGGCAGTGAAGCTTCGATGGCATGCAGCGGAAGGGTATTTCTCGCCGAGAAGGGAAACTGATGAATATTGGTATTTCTCGCCGAGAAGGGAAACTGATGAATATTGGATCTTCCCACTAGATATTCCATTCTTGTTTGGATGCGCTCGCGCGAAAATCAGCGCTTCGAACATCTCCAGACTCTCACTAGGCTGCTTGGGATGAATTTAGGTCTTCTGCATGGGACTTATATGGTGTAGCGCTGGGTGCGCCTTTTGTTGGTATGTAGCTGGCGTGAACTTCGGGTACGGCCTTCTATCATCCCTTCTCAACCGGATGTCTGCAGTTGTGCTGCGCACTGCTTTCTGGTTGCAAATCTGAAAACGATGCCTCCTAACGAGCCTCAGAGAATCAAACCCCACTGAAGTTCAAAATGGTGACAGCAAGCGATCATTCAGGGGTTCAAAGGGAGGCCTTTCGTGCAAGAAGTTGAGACCATTCTAGACTGTAAGCTGTTGGCGCCCAGGAATCCCATTCTCCGAATACCCCTGAAATGGAGACAAGTTTCTGGCTCAATACAATGCCTGCAGGGAATCGAGCTCAAAGGGAAGCCCTGATACGACTTCTCCTATCGTCCTTCAGGAGCACTGCCACACAGAGCATCCACAAGGTCCACTAGGCACTCCAGTGTCTAGGCTCCTCCGTAGATTTAATGGCAGCAGCAACAAGACACTTGTAAAAATAAAATACAAGAGACAAAATCATATAGGTTTACGCGTGTGTGGACGAAAAAGCGGCGGTTACGGTTGCTGCTCCCAAGGTAGCCATGTCTTCGACGACAAGACCGGAGGTACAGGAAGAAGCAGCTACACAAATTCGGGCCTTTAGCCTCATTGAAAAAACTAATTGGAGTCTTAAATAAAAATATACAACTGAGAGCACGAAAACGGATGCGCGGTCCCTTTTTGAGGCTACTAAGGGGAGCTCCTAGCGGCTGCCAACTTGAGCCTCAGCGGGCCACCAACCATTGTTTAGAGCAGTGATGCAGAAGTACCATATCAGTGCCATGCATTCTTTTCCTACACTATTTTCATTACATTCGTTGTTACTTCATCACAGGTATCTGCTAACGCTGGTATTGTCGGAAGTTGTTACACGGGGAACTGGACCACTGCGAGTTTTTCACGCTGCAAGATCACCGCTAGCGAGCCCCTTCTGGAAATCAGCGTTGAATTATTTATGTGGAAAATTGACGTCAAGAGCAAAGTAGAGTTAATCGGGGTGGAAAGTGGTGACTACGCTGGGAGGAAGCCCTGCACCGCCTAGCCTTACCGATAAAAAAGCAAACGAATTCGACCAACTGAATGATCTCAACAGGATTTGAGTCCAACCAAGCAGATGGACTGACGAGGCATAGCATGCGTTAGCTCTCCTTTTGACAAGCCTGCGTACGACAGTCTCAAAACATTGACCAGGTGCACGGAGTGCTTGAAGAAACTGCAGCGATATCAACGAAAATGGCGTGGATTCTTCGTGCTGAATTCGAATATTTACTGTGCCTCGCATCCGAGAGACTGGATGTGGCAAAGTCGCGAGCGTTGCTCCATGCATCACTTGATGCCCGGCTACTTTTAACCGACGATTTGTTGTACAACATGTACATCGATGCGGGGAAGGCCGCATTAAAACATTACCTAGGGGAAGGCAAGGACAGGCAGGGGCTAGGATGGCAAAGTCGCACATTCCAAGCAGCTGTAATGGCTTGTATATGCGACGACGTTAATTTAGCTCATGTTTTCACCGTCTTACGAGTTGAAGAGCTCTTGGAGAATCTTGGGGATGAGCTCTCTCCATCACAGTGTGCCAGAGTGATGCTAGCAATAATCGGTGAGCCGTTTACTTTGTCTTGTCTAGGTTGCTGCTCAACCTTATTGGTACACCACCACTTATATATTGTCCGCTTTGCACCCACCTACAATATCGCCTCTTAAGCGTTTCGCTTCGCTGCTCCAGGCGCATTTCACCCACAGAACCACACCAGTACTTCAGCTGGCCTGGAGGAGTGAAAGTTCCTCAAAGTGTTACTGTAACTACGTGACTTTCGACTATCCTGCGCTTTCCAGGGGAGCTCCACCTTGTGCGACGCGACATGCAAGAGGCAGAGAGCTCTGACTCCCCAGAATTTGTCGAATTTAAGGAAAAAAGCAGCAGATTTCTCCAAAAGGCTTCACTCTTACTGATGTCCCTTATTGCAGAAAGCGGGCGGGATCGTTTTTGTTATGTGAAAGAGGCCCTTATTCACCCGGATGCCACTTGCTCGCGCCCGGCTCCCCTCACAAGCACAAACCTAAGCAGACGTAAGCACGTCCACAATAAACAGTTTATTGACTCCTGGTTGCACTGTTTATCGACGGCGACATCTAGCGGCGACTCTTTTATGGCTCTAAAGGCAACGGCGGGAAATGTGATAACATTGTAATGCATACACCTATCGTGTTGTTGCATCGTCTTTCCAGGGGCGGTCGACTTGGCAACTCATTCTTTTGTGGCGTTTTCAAGTTCTATTGTATGCAGCTGTTTCTGCGGAGGATGCAGCGCTGGCCAAGGCGTGGAGGGGCCGCGAGCCGTTCCAACTAGCGCAAGTGCTAAGGGCAGATTTGGACGGGAGTGATTTGTACACTTCGTCAATGTATGCCCTCTACAAAAGAGGAGACCCAGTGTTTGAGACGCTCTTGCATAGCGGCAGCCTCCTATCGCTTTGGCATCGCTTGCATTCTATCTGTAGACACAATGTTACACTGGGCCAAGAGACGATCAAATGGAGCGTTGTACGACAAGCTCCCAGACTAAACAGGTAGGAATTTGAAGCGAATTCGAACAGTTCATGGGCTGTGAAGGGCAATGGGCGTTCAGAGCGTGAAAGTATTTGGGGTTGATCCCAGTGAATCCCAGCGGGTTGCAGTAGAGAGGAAGTCTGTACCCCGGGTGGAGGACAGTCATAGCGTGTGTAGTAACGCAGAGAAAGTTGCCGAGCTTCATGGTAGGTCTTGCATGCACGATAGCCTCGAGTTGGGATGCTTTGGCTTCTGTGATCTTATGGAGTTTGCAGACTACGGCAGCTGATATTGACACGGCTTATCCAGTGTTTGTACCAGCCGCAATATACGCTACCTCTTGGGGGCCCTATGAGCGTGGACGAGAAGAGAAGCAATGATTCTGATAGGGCCTTAGCAGGGCTACTTGCTGAAAGCCTCGTGCTGTCGGGTAAGTCATAAGTGGCTGTTATTCTTCAACTGCTTGACACTTTTCGAAGCCATTTCAGCTTGAAGCTTGCCAGCTGATGCTCTTTACTGCATGCTATGGTTGGGACAAAACTGTAGCAAGTAGTTCGGGAAGAACGGCTGGGGAACCTGTGTAGATTGCGACAGACAGCCGCGTAGCCAGCATTTTCTGAATGGCGCATCGGGAATGTACTGTTGAGTTTTGCGGGGAGTGGAAGACTAAAACTTTGTACTAAGGAGCTACGTCATTCGGTGTATACCGGGCGGATTTTTTTCTGGTAAAAAAGCTTCGTAAACGCTGTTAGTTTTATGCGTAGTGACCTTAAAGTGCGTGCTGGGGTGTATGCCTGAAGGTGTGAAAGTCTGGTGCTATGAGAGCTTGGCCCAGAAACAACAGATCATGCAAATGGCAGGCGAAGGCCGAGCAACTCTAGCATCCAAGCTGGACAGCATTTTGTGCATCCAAATAGACCGTGGGTAGGTGGAGCGGCAATCTATTGACTACGGGCCCTTTAAGCTGCTTTCAGAACAGAGAGCCGGCTCAGCTTCCGAGAGCACAAAACCCTTAAAACGCGTGCAAGTCCATAGTACACTTCAGAAGACAAATGCGCTCACGTTTCATCGAATACTTTGTTTTTCAGATTTGTGGAGATGCCTTTGGGGCAAGAGTTGCCTGACCTGGACGGTCTTGCAAGCCTGTTTGCTGAAGTTCCGGGGACTAGACCAATGGAGCCTTACGAAGGCATGCACTACACAGACATGAACCTTTACACGCTAGTCCCGGACACATATACCTCAGGTATGCGCCACTTCGTATCTCCTCCAAACATGCTCAAGATTTGGAATAGTGCCAAATTCGGAGGTGCAGCGCAACCTGATTGTCACTGCGCTCTTTGTCAGGTTCCACGGGGTTTCCCCGGTTGTTATTTCCTGTTTCTTCTCTCTCTATAATCACTTTTTGCCTCTACGTACGTGAGCAAATTGATATGCTCCGCAGCCCTTTTTACATCAGCATTTCAACCTGCGGTGCACTGCGTAGGTATCCTTTCCTCCAACTGGCCATCTACTTCATATCGTATTGGCTCCCGTTTGCACCGAGCTACGCCGAACATGGGGATACTGGACGAGTCACGTTTCTTTACCAACCCGATGGTCACTGCCCTGCTCAACAAAAATGCCCTTGTAGAAACAGTTAACAGTTTCATGTCGACTGAAGCGGTAGAAACTGTCTGAGTGGCTCCCGTACATGGTTCACGAGACAAAGCAGAGTTAACGGAAGGACACTGCTTGGCTGTATGGACGTGTGAGCGTGCAGTTTGCACATACAATACAAAACTTGGGAATAAATTCTTCATTGTAGATTTTGCTCCTGTACCGGTGATGCGTGTATCCACGACCTACAAGACGACGGGAAAACTTCATCATCACGGCATATTGTCTAATGGAATATTGCCGTAGTTCCCGCCACACATGATGGGGCACTTCAACGTGACTGTGCAAAAGCCGCTAACAAGGCGAAAGCCCCTGCGCAACTGCAGCTGCCAGCGAATCTATGGAGGCTGCTATAGTTAATAGACTTCGCATTGCTGCACTTCACCGTTTGTACACTTTGGATAACACAGAACGGTGATTGTGTTTTAGGAGCATTAGCAGAAGGCTGCGCCAAGAGAATGACGAGATGAACTCCGGCTGACGATTTTCATTTCATACTTGCGTAACTTATCACTTTCAAACACAATTTAGAGGTACTATCATGCATTATACCTGCTCTACGCTTGGCAAGGAGCTCACTTTGGCTAAGGATTCTCGCTGGAAGAGCCGCTGCGGTCTCTCCTAGGTCTAAAAGCTCTACGGGCTATTCAGGTGCTGCTTCCACTTCTACCTTTCAAATGCGTCGTTGCTTCCGATACTCCTGCACGTGGAGGCGGAGCGTTACCACACGTATTTGGCAGTAAATGAGTCCTCGCTAACTATTCTGCTGTTCTCTCGCATTCTAAAGGAAACGTTAGCTTAGTTTTGGAAGCTCAGCAGCGAAGATATACAGAAGATGCTGATGCTGCAGTTCCTTTGTAGTCAAGAATATCACAGTGGGGCATCGAGCACAGTTAAGGCAAAGCACCTAGTACCGCTAAGCAGCAAGCGGCATCCTTCCCTTCGTCAACTCCTGCTCCAAAGTTGGCTGCTGTTGCAGATGCTCAGAGCGGCAGTGATCTTCATCACTTTCCTGTCCTTCATCTTCACTTCTTATAGTCGCTAGTCTTTGAGGCAGATTCGCAGTAGACTCTTCCGAGTGAGGTTTGCCACGATTGGGCGCCTCCAATGCAACAGGATTGGGTGCTGCCTGCTGCTTCTGGCCCTCGGCAGTCACAGCTTTGAGCTTCTGCGACTGATTGCTGCAACTCCTCGGTGCTAGGGGTACAGCAGCGATCGTGGAGAGCTGCAGCCGCAGAGCAGACATCGCAAAAAGAAGCCTCACAGGAACCTCTCAGTGGGAAGTTTACTGCAAGAAGTCGTGCCACCGGTGCTGCTGCTGCTGCTCCCGTATTGCTGCAGAAGTGGGGTGACTTGCACTGTGCTGAACGCAGGGGGTGTCTTCACCGTCGGGGCGATGCAAAGGGCTTTTTCCAAGTCTGTAGCTTGCAGGCGCTGTTCCAGTCACTCCACTGGGGAGCTGTAGTTTAGGAAAGAGCTGTTGCTGCTCAATTTGCTGTTGGTGTTGCTGTTGCTGCTGTGTGTCCACGGAAGATAGACTGTCTCCACCCAGTTGCTTACCAATGCCTTCCGCCTGCTCCCGGGAGAGTCGCGCCAAGAGGCCCTCTATCTGTCGGTGCTGTTCGAGATGATGCTGTTGCCGCTGCCGCGTTTGCTCAAGTGGCTCTTCTTCTTGCTGCTGCTGCTGCGGTTGCAGTGTCAGAGCCGTCATGCGGTTCTGCAGTTCTCTTAGGCTATAGCTGCCGAAAGGTGAAACGGCAGGCGCCACCTCTGCGCTGCACCTTTCAGGCTGAAGCGCCCAATTTGCTTCCTTCCTTTCATGTTCACCCTGTTGTTGGTACTGATGCTGCTGTCGAAGCAGCTCCACTGCTTGCAAAAGCTCGTGACCTTGACGGGTTAAAGACTGCTGTGGCAGCTTTTGCAGAACCTGGGGCTGCTGCTGCTGTGTTAGTGGCTTCTGCTGTCTCTGCAGGCTTTCAGGAGTGGGCACTTTCAGGCCTTGCTCTGCTTTGCGTACTGCAGCTGCAGCAGCAAGAGATGCAAACGAATAGCAGTCGTCTCCAGTGGCAGTGCTGGCTGTGCTTCGGGACACAGCTTGTCCCCATGAGCTCAACTCCCTGTAGGTGTATCCTGGAGCTGCTGCTGTTGTCGCAGTTCCTTGCGCCTCATCAGCACTACCTGCAGCTGGACGCTGCCATCCGTGCTGCAAGGCCGTGTCTGGGAAAGTTTGCTGATACCCTGAAGGCAATGCCTGCTGCTGCAAGAGCAGCCTTTGCTGCATTGACTGCTGCCGGGATACAATATCTTCTAGTTCAGACTGCTGCTGCTGCTGCTGCTGCTGCGGCTGTTGCTCTGTGCCTTCTGCAGCGTTAGCTGGGAGCTGCATCATTGGACGCACTTCATTCCAGTTGTCAGAGGATTGTATGTTCTCCAATAGCTGCTCCTCAGAGTCCTGCTGCACTTGCTGCTGCGTTGTTGCTAGGGCCCGAAGAGAAAATGCTGGCACCTTTGACGCTGGTGAACGGAAATGAAGGGCGCCCGGGGAACGTGCAGCCTGTAGCAGCACATCGCACACGACAAACAAACTGTGTTTACTTCAGAACAGCAATCGGTCATGGGCCCTCTTCCAGCGCGAACTGAGTCCGCTATGTTCAACAGAGAATACAAGATTCAGGAGACTTACAGTTCCGGCCTCTTTCTGAAGAGTTGGCTCCTTCTGCTTTTTCTGCTGCGGCTGCAGGGTCCCAGGGACCATTTTAGAGCGGTATGATGACAGGACATCAGGCTGCTCTTGCTGCTGCCCGTGCTGGATTTCCAGCTCAGAAGCAATGCAGCGGCGCTGCGGATCTTGTAACTGACGCTTTAGATGTTGCTGGGGTTGCTCTTGGTATTGCTGTTGCTGCTGTTGACGGCGGGCCACTTGAGCTTTTTGTCGGTCTTGTGCGGCTAAAGCAGCCTTTCCCGCCGCTTCAGCCTCCAGCAGCATTAGCAGTTGTTGGTGTTGCTGCAGCATCTGTTGTTGTTGGTGCTGCTGCTGCCTTGCGTTGCTAAAGCTACTCAGCTTCCCTTGCGCCTGCTGCATTGCTAGCTGCTGCAGCAGCAACAAATCTTGGGGCAGGCTACTGTCAGGAAGGAAAGACTGAGTTTGATGCTGCTGCGTCTGTGGCTGCTCGCGGTGGGCCATCATCACTTGCTGCTGCTGCTGTTGCTGCTCGTGAAATGGTTGAGCAAAGACATATCCCACTTCCAATTCTCCAAGAGCATGTGCGTATTTGCAGCTGGAGCCGTGGAGGCATTTGCCTTCAACAGAAACAATAGGAATGAGAGTGAGATCGATTTCTTTCACCAGAGATAGCGGAATTGCGCGGCATATATCCAAGCGGACAGGTTAGCACTAGGCCCCAGAATTTCTCGGTTTCTTCACAAGTTGGAGAAACTACTGAACTGGCTCGAAAAAAAATATGCATGTTAAATTGTGTGATTGTTCAGAGCGGGCTACTATGGAAGTGCAAATGATAGGCATTACTACATTTGTGTAACTCTGCTTATTTAGCCCTGCTCAAGGTCAGGGAATCACCAAGTAGAAAAGGGTGAGGTTGAATTCAGTTTTCTCATTGGACCGACCTTCCCTGTACAATCTGCAAAGACCTTTTTTTCCTGGGAAGTCCCTCAGCTCCTGCAGGCCATGAGCATAGGAGCAGTTGTTGTTGCTACACTGACCCCCGAGGAATGCGTTGCACAATTTAGTCTTTCTCAGGTCAGGCAATTGCCGAAGCTCCTCCGCAGAATGCGCAAACGAACAGTTGTTGCCGCGTGTGCATTTTCCCCGAGCGTGAAACACGCACCAAGCTGCCTTGTATACCCTACAAAACCAGTGACATCACACAAAGGACAAAATCATAATGTGCCTTTCTCCTTGGTCCAGATGTGGGGATTAGTCCTGTTTCTGCCTTCGCTGCTGCCGCTATAGCTGTTGTTTATTGCGGGAGGTGCGACTGGGTAGTTGAAGCGGCTATTCAAGAGCCACTTCTATCGTAAAAACGCGTTGCTTTAAAAATGTTTTGAAATGCTTGATGGAAAGGACAGAACAAAGCGTACTGCATCTTGAAGTTGCTTCCAAAGAACAAATGCGCTCAAGCCGGGCTGCCTCGACGAAAAATAAAGAATGGCGCTGCGCCCCAAGAAGCTGACTGTGCTGAGCGGGCCCTTCCGTTTTCATAAAGAAAGCAATGTAGGTTGACCACGAATATCCGGGTGGTGGATTCTGCGCCCGTTTGAACATACATAAAACTGCTGGTGTCCGCCGTAGAGTCAACAGCGCAGCTGTCCTGAAACGCGAAGCCTCCTTTTGAGGAAATAAAAAAGCACCAAGATCCCCTGGCTGATGGGGGTATTCTGCACGAATATTTCAATTCACTTCCCATAGAAATTTCTCAGCCACTCCTGAAACCCCTTAAAATACAAAACGGAGACACTGCTGTTAACTGCCCCATATATCGTCCTATGGAGAAAGAATTAGACAGTTAACACAAAAATAAAACAACCGGTAGAATAAAACGAGAAACGCTTGCAACAAAATTTCAGTATGTTGCGTGAAATCCGGTCTTGAACTAGCACCTGTCAGTCGGGCCTAGACTAGCGCGCAAAGCGCAGAAAGGCGAAACTGCGTAGCGATTTGCAAGAGGAGTGAAGGCGAAAGCAGATGAGATGCTGAGATTAAACCATGAGGTTGAAGGGAAACGGCCAAAAACCTGGGATGATAGAACCTGAACTGACCGGCCCCGAGCAGCGACTCGTCAGCCTGTGCAGCAATGGCGCAGTAGAACCCTAAGTTAGAAAAAATGGTGAAACTTTCTGTATGTAGATTTCAAAAACCCCCAAATGTAATAAAAGCAACAAACGAAAACAAAGCATACAACGACGGCTGAACAATGCGAGTCAGATGGTCCCAGCTCCTGTCAGCGTGCAGCGCTACTGCTGCGGCGCGATGTCACCGTGGGGCACGCATGGGCTGACGTTTCCTTGTCTAAGATGGAAAATTCAGTAACTTTACAAAGAAGTAAGTGAAGCATCTTAGAAGTTACAAAGTTTTTGCATACAGGTGGGGTAAACTCTTTCTGGGTTGACGTTCTAGCTAGTATAACAACGATCTATTGGTTCGGTAACTGCTCCGTACCACGTAGATGCAACGGAGAGAACACAGAATCTCCCACACAAACAAACAAGGGGGGAATATTAAAAGCAATTTTAACATTCTGTCCTGCATTTCTCCGGGCGTGTCCGCACATCGAACAGAGCTACGGAAATCCTGTTCTGAGCAAGTTGGTAATTCGCATTCTCATGTGGCGCCTCAATGTTAACACTTGCTTGACTTGTTCGTTGGAAAAACACATCTTATTTTTCTCAAAAAGACCATCCTACGATTTGTACACCGCAATCTCTTCTGTGCAGCTGAACTTACACGGAATCATTTTCTGCGTCATACTTGCCGATCCTCTACTCTGCAAAAAGCTTCCCACAGAGCTCACTGCTACGTCATAAAGGTCCTTAGAGGTCACGCTTCTCAAGCGAAATAGCCAAAGACGTCTTTGATCCTTGAAATATCAGACACGGTCAGGAATGATAGTTCTCTTGGCATGAATCGCAACATGTTAAAAGGGGTCTACAACAAAAGTAGTCACGTGAAGAACTGACTACAGAGCAACGCTGAGATTTTGCTCCCCTTTCAAGGTGCAGACTGCTTTTAGTCTCATCGTAATAAAAATGCGGGGAAAATTATTCAGGTAACTGGAAGAAGCACCACATCAGCAGCCCCTTTCTAAGTTCCTTGAAAATCTGGACAGAATTTTTCCAGTACAAATCGGTCAAAAGCATTCACATGCCTGCAATTTAAGTGCTAAGCTGAAGTATACACCTTGCTGCAATAGCTTCCTTGATTCTGCCGAAGTTACCTCCACGGCAAACACTGAGCTGTGAACCAGTTTCGATGCAGGAACAAATGTTACGCAGGAGCACTCACCAAGCATGTACGAGGAAATTGTCTCACTGCTGATGATGCCAGAGTAAAGCAGTTACAACAAATTCCTCCCAGCAAGTAACAGGTTTGCCGCGACCATTTGTACTGGTTTCGTGCTTCTGTGGAGTGGGCTACTGTGTACATGCAGTGAATGCTATTATCAAGGGAAGCTGGTACAGGAGGCAATACACAGCAACATCTCCCCAGGAGCTTATGTACGGAAACAGAAGTGTTTCAGCGCGCTGCGGACATGGAGGCTGGCAGCTGAAGAATTTCGACTAGCTTGCCAATTTGAGCTCTTCAAGTTGGCTAGACTTGAAGGCTACGGCCAACTGCTGAACCGCCGTCGGTCCGTTTTGGCTGCATGAAAGAAGCGACACTCCAGTATTTGCCATTTCGCAACAAAGTCGCCCTGGGACAAGAAAGCTTCCACTAGAGCCTAAAATTTATTATTAGGGTTTGCGCAGTATCCTTGTCAGAATAGTATGCTGGGGCTGCAGTAGACTTCGGGTCGGTGGAAGTCCACTGCAAGCGCAACACAGTTCAGTTGAATTCAAACGTTTGAGCTTACTGCAGCCGTTAACAACTAGGAATGCCCAACAGGGTGTCATTAATGCTGCATTAAAAGTATTGATTCATATCTTCCGAGTAATAGGAGGAGTTACTTGATCAGAGAGATGAACGGCTTTTTTCATCCGGTTCAACACCTCCCGCCATATCACCAAAGGCGCAGGATAGATTCTTTTCGTGGGGGTCGAATAGCCAAGTGCACTTCCCAGCACGGCGCTCAGTTATAGTTTCCCAAGACCACCTGCAAAGCCGAAAAAGTGTACATAAGTAGAAAAAAAAATTATCAGATAGCTGGGTTTTCAAGCATAAATATCAAACAAAATCAGACTCAGCGCGCAGCGCCTGCACGCAAGGACTGCAAATAGTCTCTGCCCAATAGAGAGTCACTATCAGTCCAAACCTTTCAGCAGAGCTAACAGTATTCTGCCCCTTCTAAATCTTCCTCTTAAGCAGACAATCTAGACAGCATGCAGCCCGGGCGTACTGTATTTAATTTCGTTCACACCCACAAGACAATGCACATCACAGCACTTAGGCTGCGCGAGCAGCAGCCAGGTTCATCGTCCTGGAAGTATGACACCCTTGAACCGTTACTAAGACCAAGATGTATGGCAAATGCTTTTTCCAGGCATGAAGTCACTTGAACTACGCTGCAGGCGCTGATGCCATTGCCATCTGTGTGAGAGGTGCCTGCTTGTGCACCTAACTGGTGTTCATCTGCTAGATGAGCCTTTGTGTTGCACATACCGTTTTGTTTATGCACATGTTTTTGGATGTTCAGGCACAGAGCAACGTCTGTGCAGTGTTGTACTCTAGAGGAAACTTCCGTGTTGAGCCCCACGGCCTCCACAGCCGAGGACAGACGGGAAGACTTCCGCCAAGAAATAGATTTCCGCTTGTTTGCAACTTCAGCAAGTGATGCAGATTTGGTAAGGCCTTTATTATCCAGTGACTACGTCCATCTTTGGGTAGGCGGCAAGGGAGCGAGAAAAACACAGTCACTTGAGACCCAAATTTCACAGAAACACGGGAAAATTTTGAATATTATCAAATTTAGATCGATATGTTTTTTGGGCCTGAAAATATGGCTAATTTTGTTGGCGGCTGATCTGTTTAACGCCAGCGCGCGTTCTGCACAAAAAAGAATGTGTCAGAAATTGAATGATCAATGTGCGGTTTGATCGCGTATTTCGGCCAGGTGCAATCACAAGCTCCAACCACAAAAAAAATATTTATAATTTTATAAAATTTGCGAGAGATTTTGGTTGTGGTTTAGCTCTTCATGCCTTCATAACAGAGCATTTCAACATTGCCCCACCCCACCAGAACCACCCTACACCCTACGGATTGTCCATTGGTCCGTTCTACGTGTTGACCTGCCGGTTACTCTTCCTTTGAGGCCGATATCTTCGATTCTTACTCTCAAGTCATAAGGATAATATTAATTGGCATGGCTCTTCTCCCATTTGACGAGAAAGTAATTGACTAGGCCCCCTTCCAGCCGACGCAGGCGTGCAGTTGGTGTGAGCTTTCACAGAAGTTGCACCGTCTGAAATCAAGGTCCTTCAAGGCCTAAAAAAAATTGTTGATGTGCGAATCAT